ACAAATGCGGCTGGTGTCTCAAGTAATTTGATCACATGTATTATTCACCAACACTTTAGTATAATCAGACACTATGTGCCTACGCTGCTAAAACGAAGCAATGAGGGTGGGGGGTGGGAGGGATGGGGGAGGGGGGGAGGGGGATGGGGAAATTGAATGGGAAGGGGTCAAGTCCATATATGACGATATGAATTCACATCAGAAACCTGCCCTCAGCCATGTGTGACAGAGGGAGCTGTGTCCCAGCCCTGTCCCATCACCAGCCCCTCCCCCCTCCTCCTCCCTCCTCCTCCTCCTCCTCCTTCCTCTGCTGTTTTAACAGATTATTACTAAGGCAATCCTCTGGCATATGCCTGCAAAACTGCTACGTGTGAGACAGGGAAGCTAGCCCTCATACTTCATGTGCTTTTATTGGATTTTCCCATATGATGAAAGTGCATCAATGCCATTGGATTACATCTGATTAACATGGCATTAAAAGGCAGTAATTGTCTCAAACCGCATTACACTTCCTTTGGATGGAAAGATGTTTTCTCGTGGACACTTACTGTTAATTTTACCCTCCATTAAGCCTCGGCTTGAGCTCTAATATGCTGATTTGACAGCGGCCTTCAGTGTTACGCTGTCAGACTTTTATTACAACGCTCCCCAGTTTGTTCTGATCTTGTAAAGAAACGTTGCCTTAAACAGAGGTGAGACAGGATGATGGATCAAAATGCGGCTGAGAGATCCGGCTGCATCGTGGGCCTCAGAAGCTCAGCTTGTTATCAGCTTTAGCTCTGAGGAATTGGTATGTTGTCACCCTCAAGATTGCTGAGATCTGATTTTGGGTTGATTTTTTTTTTTTATAAAAAAGGTCTGCTCTATATTGTGCTTTGATCATTGGGTGGGTGGGTGGGTGGGTGGGGGGTGCTCACTAGCAGAATAAGCATCCGGATTTGCTGAAGTTGCTACAACTGTGAGATTTTTATTAGGTCCTTGTTGAACTGCATAAGTGTGAAATGCTTGTGCTTGTAACCTTTACAGTCCATCTGATGAAAAACTATCATAACATGAGACTTGTGTGACAAACGCACCTAGAGGGCAGCTGGAGACCACAAACCTCCTCCGAGAGAAATTCTTGCTGCTGCACCTGAAGGCACTATTTCCTGTCACTAACATTTTAAACTAAAATGATCTCACTGCAGGGTTTAATAGCTTTCACCTCTGCCCTCTAAGTCTCTGTCTGTGTTTGATGTGTAGCTATAAAATGATAACCATCTATTGGCAGAAATTCCAAATCCAGATTATACCAGAATCTCTTTCCAACATTCCCCCGGCTTCGGGTCCAATTTCCACCAGATTTCACACAATATTCACGAGCTTGTGAGATTTCCCACAAAATGTTGTGAGTTGATAGATAAAGCAATTATCGTACAGTAGATGCGATTCCTAGTGATTATTCCAAACAATCAATCTACACAACACCACCAACCACAAACTGTATCTCCCAAATGAAGCAGTTTATTACAGAAGGTTTATGCGTTTCCAAGCTTCTCACAGAATTTTTTCCTGCAATTAAGTGATTTTCATCAATAAACGATCACAGGCTTTTATTAATTTTTCATGAGCTACCTGCAAAAGTTAATAAGGGATGTGCAATTAAATAGTTATTTAAAAGTCATTTCACAACAATTGATTATAGTTTTCAGTTATAAATGACAGTTAATTGTTAGCAAACACATTTTGGTCCAGATATTCTGCAGCTCTTTTTCAAAAGGTAGGTGGTCTAATGGGCCACTGGAGTGGTCCTGCTCGATGACAAACAAAGTCATTATGTACAACTCATAAATTTACAGAAAGATAATTAGATGGTGGTACCAAAATTACTTCTGCCTTATTACTAACTGCAATAGGTCTAATAATAATAATGATAGTGAACACTCCATTGCATGGTACCTTTCACTTAGATGTAATACAACAAGAGTAAGTGTCCACAGCCTTGGCCGCTCTATGAGGATGTAGCTAAATGCCAACATCAGTCATTAGGATTGGGAGGGAGGGATTCATCCTCTGAGGACCACAAATGTCTCGTAGAAGATTTTGTCCCGATCCATCATTTAGAAATATTTCACAGGAAACGCTGACCTCAGGAAAGATCAGGCGGAAAGATCAGGCGGAAAGATCAGGCGGAAAGATCAGGCGGAAAGATCAGGCGATCATCAATGTCAGTAGGATTCATCCTCTGAGGACCATGAATATCTGTAGTTGTTGTTGAGTTGTTTCAGTCTCGACTGGTGGTGGATCAACGAGCTGATAGACCACCATTGCCATCCATAAGGCTGTTAGCGTGGCTAAATATTACAGATTACATCTTGAAAGATCTTCAAAGTGTTACAGAAAACAAGTACCACATTCACAAATAGCAACTTGTCTTATTTCATCAAACACACAATAAATTATTGATAACGTGGTCATCAGATTTTCCTCAAACCCTCAATAAGCACATTTTAACAAGCACAGGATTTTTTATTATAATGAACTATGCTATTCACACATGCGTATCCACACTGAGTGCTACTCAAGACTGCAGCATCCTTCCCCTCTGAACCCGTTTGTCATCACAGTAGGGGGTAATGTTAAGACTAGATGTCTTTGTATCCATGACTGCAATACAAATAAGGTTCCAAAGACACTTGCAATAAGGAAATATATAGCCTACTTAAAGCTGTGCCAAGCTAGTTTTCCTTTGTTTTCTTTACACCTTATTCTCCAGACATTGTTTTCTCTTTGGGTGGCACCATCTGGTGATTTCAATAAAAACTCTCTGTGGAACGATGGCTCTGAGAGAGTTGGCCAACAAAGACTGTGTCATCAATACTAATAAAACCATGTTGTCCTGTGAGGTACAGCACAAACAATGTGGCCATATGGATGCTGTGTTACTGGTCCTTATGGAGGTATGGTGTTGATACCCAGCTGCTCTGGCCTGTCCTGTCCTTCAACCGCTTCCCTATTTCTGCTCTTTATAACCACAACAATATGCTTCACTGCCATAAGTGAGTGATTGTTGAAGGTTCTCTCAGAGCGGGCACACACAGTAATCACAATGGCCATAAAGTCTGTGAAGCATATTCACCATAGTCAGCACAGCATTATCAAAGCTTTGCAGTTTTCAATTAGCAGATTTATGCTTTGTGTTTTGTTTTTGTTTTTTTTTGCTGTCATCGGTTTTCTTAATGTCTGATATTGCTGTGCATTCATTCACTCCCCGTCCCTGCCATTGACTTTGTTTCCACGTTCAAAGTGTGTATCTATGCGCGAGTGTGCACGTGCTGACCTCACAGCCACAACTGTCCGTCTCTTGGTCATCACATCAGGCCTGTGGAACATATCACCCTGCTTTGAGGCTGACACTGGGCTGCTCTAATCTGTGGCTGCTGCTGCTGCTGCTGCTGCTGCTGCTCGAGGGCATGCGCTGCAGCCATACGCCCAGCAGTGAGGAGTTGAACAAGTGAATGGCACTGGCCTCAATGTGTCACCACTGGCACTGACACTATCGATGACATAATGAATCCACTGGATCTGATGGGAGAGTTTCGACTGCACCGTTGCCACCAGTTACCCACGTTAAGGGATTGAATGGGATTCAGACTGCCACCTCCACTTGCTCTGACTGCACTGTGTACAAAGTGAATCATATAGTCCAGAGTCCAAAAATGGCACCCTGGTGGAGGCATGCACACACAGCTAAAGGATATTGGTTCAATCAATAGTGTGTGGTGTTTGCACTTAATTGAGAGACTCCCATAACATAGCTCCAGCTGTTTTATGATCATCTCCATCCTGCGTGTGCGTGTGTGTCTTTCTTAAAGGTTCATGCATTAACACAGGTCGTAATAAACTCAATGAATCACTAACTTCAAAGACCTACAAGAAAAAAAATGTTTTGTTATTGTGATTTTATAAAAATGTCCTCTCGTTCATCTGTGAGAAATGCTCCACATAAGTCACAGTGGGCTGATTGGACTTCCCGTCCCGACCCACCACTGTGTGTGTACACTTCAAGCACCTCCGAGCATTGTGCAGAGATCAAAGGCAGATTCTGGGAAGTCACGCTGGGAATAGGCAGGGGGGAAAACGAGGGAAATCTTTTTTTGCACGCACACCTCGGCATGGTTGTAGGAGATGAGAAAGCCAAAGACAGTAAGTAAGAGGAGAGAGGAGAGGGGTGGGGGGTGGGGGTGGGGGGGCAAGTCGAAGGTATAAATGTTAATTGTGAGAAGCGTGTCCTCACTCTGTGGATTTCTCCACATCCTGCTGTGTGCCTGACTGAGGGCTCCTCTATGAAATGTACCACAGTGCCGCCTCGCCACGCACAGCGGCGGCTGCGTCGTAGTTCAGCGCAAAGCAAGGGCATCACAAATGGTTTAAGAAGATAATTTGTTCCCCCGTTTTTTTCAGAGAAGTGCAAATTATGTCCGAAAGGAGAGAGCGAGACGGCGCATTGGTTTGACATTTTGAAAAGGAATAGCCTTCTGTTTTCCTTTTTTTTCCCAGCGTGGGCGCATGCGGACTGATAGGAGTTAGAGATGCCAACCAGCAAGCCAGGGACACTTGAAGAGGATGGAGACTTAAAATATAGATGGTCTGTACCTTTTTTAACGGAACATTTTCTAAAGGACAAATAATTAATATTTCCTCAGCAGGGAGGAGGTGTGGCACCGCCGCGGGTCCGAGCTTTAGCCGGCACATGGATGGTTGACTTTTGTGCGAAGATAAAGAAAGAAAACCAAGAGTCCACGTGAGTTTACATAGCCTAGGTCACACGTGATCACCTCATTCTATCAAGTCATTCATATCGCCTGTAAGTGGCAGACTTGACGTGCGCCCTTGTGGAACTCGGGGAGGCAACCAGGTGCGCTCCATGTTTCATTTAGGACACACCGGTACCGGCGGTACCTGCGGGACATAAAAGCGCAGTTGGGACTTGAGAAGCAGCGTTGGGCTGTCGGCCAGTGATGCCGGACACATTCACACTCCTAAAGAACCGGACAGAGCCACGGCTGGGGCAGCTCGAGCGCACACTGGCCTCGGAGGGGAGCGCCCGCCCCGCCTGGGTCATAGCTATCCTGGCCAGCGTGCTGATCTTCACCACGGTGGTCGATGTGCTGGGGAATCTGCTGGTGATCATATCGGTGTTCAGGAACCGCAAGCTGAGGAACTCGGGTAAGAGGTTTCATCCCTTTGCAATGATGGATCTTAAATGTATAAGTAGAAGGTCGGTTAAACTGGTGATTAGTGATCACAACCACTAATAATGACTCGTATATTGAGGGAAAAGTTATACACTTTTGCTTATGCCCGTGCTACACATTTCAATACTGTGGTGCTATGAATGTGCACAGTGATGCAGGCTTTGTATGACTGTGTGTGAAATCTGTTCTCTGGTTGAAATGTACTTTGCTTTAGCTACCCTCCACATCACCTCGCCTCATCAGTGAACCAGTGACAAAAACTAATCCAAAGTAACTTAAAATAAGACATTCAACTGAACTCACACCATAATATATAGTTCCAACGACGCCTGTCCTTTGGATTAGGGTGTCAACCTACTTCTGTCAGCCTGCTCACAACCTAAATGCAAAAGGCTGTAGCCTCTAGTTGACAGTGTTATCCGGAACACTGTAGGTTCGTATCTTCACAGGACACATGGCTCCTGATGTACTGATGGCTGCTCCGGGGATTTAACCTGCATTAACCTGTATATTTCCAGTTAACTGATAGTGTATTATACCATGGCAACAGCTTGATTGATACCTCACTCTATTAGAACTACCATAACAGCTTGAGCTGCCTCTCTTTCCTCAGTCGTGCACTCTTCTCCGGTACAGTTCAAAGGTAGACTGACTCACACTCGCTGTGTAAGACCTGGTTAATAAGCGCAGGTGAGTCCTTTTAAAAAGCTGACTGTAGTGGTGTTGATGAACCTATTCTGATGTGAATGTGTGAAATTACCCAGGAGGCCTCCTGCAGCTTTAGTGGAGAATAAAGCCAGATCATAAAGTGTGGAAGTACTTCTTTCCACTGAAGCCTCGCTTCAGGTGAAGAGTATACACTGGGGGTTGTAATTCATCTCTTTTCAAATGGGCCCCTTTTCAAGGATTTTACTGAGCTTATTTTTAAATGTTATTGGTTTACCATCTAATTTTCCCCCCTCTCCATTACTGACACGTTTTTGTTCATTGAAAATCATTGAAACAAGTAATTCAACAAGAGTAAATGAGAGATTTTGAGGCTGAAACCTTGTCAAGATGGAGATCTTATGCAGTAAAATATGCCACACTGTGCTGACGGGCTATTTTGTGCCTTATCAGGCAACAATTAGGGAAGGAAATATGCATTTATTTGCATTTCCTGTAAATCAGCAACTATTTTTCAGCCAGTAGGATGCAACCCGAAATCTTTCTTCCTTATTAGTGGATGGGTAAAGCACCCTGAGGGCTAACCAAAACAACTACAACCTTTCATTTAAGGACATTAAGGATCTTCCCTTGTGTTTGTTTTCATACTTTTTTTTCCTTTTGTGTGAACATATTCCTCCAGTCAGATGGAGACAGTGATCGCTGGAGTGTTTGCAGCCCAGTCTTCAGAGAAAGACTCCCACATTCTGCACTCCAGCGTTGATTCTTTTTTTTTAAAGTAAGGTTTAGGTAAGGTTGAGCTTATTCATAGCTCTGAATCGCCTTGAACCAAGGTTATTTATCTAGTGTAGCGAGCAGGAAGTGGAATTCACAAAGTTAAGAGGTAAGAAATGAATTTGTAAGTCAGGAGCAATATGTCAAGTGTGAATCCATTGGTGTGTAAAGCGCAGCCTACAAACCTCCTTTTAATCATTATTTTGTTAAACTTTATGCACAGTGACAGACTTACGATAGCTGCATTCAGAGGATTTATTGTAATCAAACAGAAGTCTTTTCACTCCTCGAGTAACATTTTTATCTCCTGCTTTCCTTTTGATGTCACCTGTTTAAATATAAGACACGTGGAGTCTTTGGAGGACACGTATCAGGAAGACTACAGTGAATCCATACATCCATGAGGTCCCAGTGAGAAGCAAACATCTGTGGCAGTTTTTGTGTCTCACGCTGCACAACACAACACTATTGTATTGAAATCATGATATTGGATAAGATCCCGCTCTGCACCGTGATCACGTTTATCCTTTGGCAAAACACGTTTATGTTTTTTGCACAGCATTGATTTCGAGCACCTCTTGTGCTGTTAAGAGGACACGCTTGTGGCGTGGATGTTAGAGAAAAGGTTTTTTTTCCCACCATTACACCACCATAGGGCTCAAAGATAGATTTTGCAATGCCGGACACACAGTTCACCTGTCAGTCTGTGCACAGGGACGAATGACATATCTTTGGTTTAATCACCTGTCTACAGTTTGCCCCATGGCGACCAACTAAGAGACCAGATAAGAGCTTATAATGAAAATATTAATTTTACATCTTAATTTTCAAAAATCCTGCTTAAATTTATCTTCAAGCTATTCTTGGGTGTTATGGGTTATCCTTTCTTTATCTATTTATATTTATTCTCCAATAGCCCGCATCTCTAGAAAGTGTGCTGTGAAAACATATAGTACCACTAACATGGTGCATTTCTGCCTTAAAGCTGATCTCTCTCAGCTCAAACAGCCCACTCAGCAGTTCAGAAACCACGCTGAACCCACAGTCATGAACTCAGAGAATGGCTGTTGTAGACTGAAACAACCCACTCAACAGTTTTTCGACAGGAAAACACCTGACTTTTACCAACTAGTGTATATAAACAGTCACGGCAGGAGCAGGGGGGTGGCATATGCTTAGCCAATACAGCTGTCATAGCTTCGCATTAAGTCCCTGCTGTGGCAGAGCGAACACAGTTAACTGCTGGACCACAGTTTTTCATCAGGTGATAGGTTTATGAGTGATGACTAACTCTGCTTATTTATTCTCACCCTCCCACAGAGGTATACGCACACTCACACTGTAGTAGATATGATCGTACAGGCTTATTATTAAATTGGCACCAGGATATTTGTTATTCACACACATTATAACTCCACATGTTGGTGTGTATTCAAGCTGCATTAGAAATGTAGAGGGGATTACACATTACCTCTCCGTTTTTCCCTCTTTTGTCTTCCCTATGTTAGATTTATAGCTCTTTCTCTCTCATCATGTGCTGTTGTTTACCAGCAGGCTCTAGCACACACACACACGCACACACAGTCACACACATATGCATGCATCCATGAGCAATTAGCACCAATTGTCCATTGGAATTTGTCTTTTAAAAAGAAAAGCTTTGATGCATTTAATGCAAGCGCTCAAATATACAGACATGCTTCTGCGATGCTCAAGAGCATAACACACATTCAGGAAAATACATAACAGTAAGTCTACATATCTAATTGTGGTATTGTGCTTCCTTGCATGGACGTGTACATGAGCATGGGAAAAGCGCCTTGTACAGTTGTGTGGGGCAGAGGTTTTTGTCCCCTGAGATTTGTCTTTGAAGGAGCTTAGGTGTTGCAAACCTTCAAAGAGAGTTAGACAGGATCGCACATTACAGAGACTCTCTTCAAAGAGACTTTATTTACATCATATCCCCCCCACCCCCCCTCCCTCTCATTCGCTCTCCAGCTAAAGCTCTCTTCCTCTACAAAAATAATGCTTAAAGTATTCCTCAGCGGCGTTAAAAGTGCAGTGTTTCACATCCAGTCCATGCCTCCATCCATGGTGCTGAAGCACTGAGAACCTGTCTCATCATCCGGCTCTCTCCGTGGTCCTGAAACACTCAAAGCCGAAGGCCTTCACTCAATCTCCGTTCTTGTCTGTGCCTGTGTTCTTGTGAAGTTGTGAAACGTCATCAGTCACAGCCCAAGTACTACTCCAATTCAAAGTCCACACCTGGTACCATTTCATCATGAATCCTTCAGAGGCTGACTTGTATAAACATGGGGAAGACAAGTATCCCAACGGTGATAGCTGAGAATCTATACCAGACTATGAATGGTTGTTCATCTTTGTCCCGCAGCTGTTATTGTGTCACTAAATTAAGGGTTGATATATTTGATGGGAGAAAGTAACCATGTAGAAAGTAAGCAGTATGCTCTAATGTTTATGGAGCTGTAAGGACACATCGGCCTGGTGAGACCGACTAAATGGACCGGCTAATATCTATGGTCAGTCCAAGGTGAGAACAGTTTTATCTTAGGAAGGCATTTGGTAATTTCATTTTTCATGCCTCTGTAGTGTTTTGTATAATTCCTTTTGTGAGATAAACTTTGTTAATGCTAAATTAGTTTGTGTTCGTGACACTTCAATCTCCACAAAAGCTTACCCCCCCCAGAAAAAAAAAGAAAAAAAAGCCTGTTGGAGAAGCTTTGAGTTGAGGTATTTTCTGAACAGTTGTGCAATTGTGTTGAAGTGTAGTCTCGTTACTAGATCTTGGCTGAGCAGGAATGTCAGCAAAAACGCTGCTGCTCCTGCTGCATATTGAGTAGACTGTATTCTCCTGTTCCCCGGTGCATGGCCGGCTTAACCTCCTTCAGGGCCCCCGGGGCAAATATTTGTTATAAGGCCCCTACTGACTCCCACTATATACTGCAGTTTCATTATTTCCCCACACACCCAGACATCAATCAGTACTCTAGAGCTGAAGTGATTAGTTGATTAGTTGATCGTTTGATTGACAAAATTAAGTGTCAACAGTTTTGATAATTGGTAATTATTTAAGTCATTCTTGAGGCAGAAATCTCAAAGACATGAGCATCTCACATGTGAGTTTTCTATGACAGTAAACTCATGTTTGTGGGTTTTGATTATTGGTCAGACAATTATTTAATTGTTTAACGATGAACATTCAGTTTATTAGTAAAGAAAATAATTGTCAGATGGATTGACATGAAAGTAATTGTTGGTTGCACCCTTCAGTACTTCTGTGATGGAATAAAACTAATTTGTCCACGGTTTTCTGTGTTAATTACTTGACATTCAGAAAAAAATTAAGCAATTTGATAAAACACAATTTTACAAACAAGCTTATTATGAACTAAAGTATTAAGATCTTAAAGTTAGATTTTGACACAGGGTCTCTCTTCAAGACCTGGGCTGCAGGATGAAGGATGGAGGACCAGTCATAGGTGATACTGTACTTCAGTGGTGCAAATTTCT